GGGGGGGGGGGGGCGGGGGGGTGGGGTTCGGGTTTAGGGTTTAGGGTCACCCCTCGTCCAGCTGGGCTGCTTAAGAGCAGATTGGGGCTGAGTTTTGTTTGTTCAAGCTCCTTTTTCCGTTTGCAGGTCTCAGGGGCTTAGGGCTTAGGGTAGGCAGGTCTTCTGTGAGAGGAGCTTTCTGCTGGGTGTTCAAAGCCTGGCTGAGGGTCGAGTTCTGGATATGTGCTCAGGGCACCCCGCTCATGACAAACATGGCATGGCTCATGAAGAGGGGCCCAGACCAAACCCAGGGGGAAGTGGCAACATGTGAAGTGTCCGGCACTGACCCTACGGCAGCCAGCCGAGGTAAACCGTACTTCCTTGAGACACCAAAGCACCATGTAAACCTGAGGATCGCCTACACCCAGTTGTCCCCATGGCTACTTGGAGGTTCATGGGTAGTTATAAGTAGGGTTATAAGTCCCCTAATAGGGGTTATAAATATAATTACCCTACTTATAACCCCGCTTATAAGTACCCATGAACCTCCAAATAGAAGGGGCTTGGGCTTGCAACATTGCCCCAGCTGAGTTGTCGCGCCATCACCACGAAGCACACGAGAAGGGGATGGCCGCCGACAAACTTCACCTGAAGTAGGGTTCGAAGCTTACTTGGAGGTTCATGGGTAGTTATAAGAGGGGTTATAAGTAGGGTAACTATATTTATAACCCATATTAGGGGACTTATAACCCTACTTATAACTACCCATGAACCTCCAAGTACTTCCCCAAAAAGCCGGAAAAAAAAGGTCAAACTCTCAGATTACGAATAAACTGCACGAGCCCAAGAAGTTTAAAGGTTGGGTATTGGAGAACTAAGTATGCTAGGGTTAAAGCTTCCCAGAAGCGTTACATACGGCCTTGCAGGCGCTCAAAGCCTCGGATCTTGGGGAGAGTGGTGATACTGCTGAGAACCTTCACTTCACCAGGCCCCCGTCTCTTCCCATGCTTTCTGTGCCAAGGAGGGTTGAGAGGCTTATAGGGCTTAGGGACCTGGATTTAGGGCTTAGGGGCTCAGGATCTAACTATATTAGAGGCTCAGGGCTTGGGGCTTTTCGGTCTAGAGTTTAGGGGCTCGGGGTCAATAGCGTCTATCGGACGAGGGTTTAGGACTTTGGGGGTCGCCCTTGCGGCTTTTGCAGGGTTTGCACAGAACGTGTCACTGGCATTGATAGCCGTCAGATATTGCTGTCACTATTCTAACCATGTCGTTGTTATTTCACGTGCATACTTGAAGGCATGCAGGCATAACTATGAACATATGTCACGTATACATAGAATCGCAATGTTGGGTTTGCAGGGTATATTATGGCATGTTCATACACGGGTCGTTCCGCCCCTACTTAAGGCTCTCCTTTAACCATAGTATACCTTCTGTGTCTGGTGCTCCGTCGGACGTCGGAGTTTTTCTCAGACATAACCACGAAAACATTATGCGCAAGAGTTCTAGAATCCCTAAACCCCTACACCCTTTTTGCAACTGGCTTGCAACGTCACCCTAAACCCTGAACCCCAAACCCCTAAACTAAACCGTCAACCCTCAACCCTAAACCGTAAAACCCTAAACCCTCAACCGTCAACCCTAAACTCCTAAACCCTAAACCCCGAAACCCTAAACCCTGAACGCTACACGCCTAAATCCCTAAAGCCTAAACCCCACAGTTGAGGCCACAGGAAATGCCCCGCTTTTGAGGTCCCCGGCCATGGTCGAAGGCTCCTCCTGCAACTTGGCTTTGGTTTGGGGAGACAAGAAGTGGGAAAAGTGGGGTTTAGGGCTTATAGGGTTTAGGGTGTAGGGGTTTAGAGTTTAGGGTTTAGGGGTTTAGGGGTTTAGGGTATAGGGGCTTAGGGTTATACTCTGGGGAGCCGAAGGTAAGGGCCTTGATACCTTTAAATCGGCTTTCGGGCAAATCTTATGCTTATGACTCTCTGCTGTGATCCGGTATTACTTATAGTACATAGTTCATAACCAGTATAGTATAGCATAGCATAGCATAGCATAGCATAGCATAGCATAGCATAGCATAGCATAGCATAGCATAGCATAGTGTAGTATAGCATCGTGTAAGAATATGGGTGGCTGTCAACTTATGGTCCCTTTTTGGGTCCTTATTATAATACGGCACCTATTATTTAGGGTACCCCAAAAGGGACGAACTACCCATATGGGAAAACGTGGCTCCCCCCCGCAGGATCGCTCCTTCACTTCCACCACCGTCGCGCTGCCGAAGGCCTGGTGCGCCTGGAAGCTCCACAGCGCGCCTCGGAAGCGAAAGGGCGCCATAGCAATACTTCCGAGTAGTAAGTAGTGGTAGTACTAAGTAGTGGTGGCGGTAGTAGTAGTAGTAGTAGTAGTAGTCGTAGTAGCAGTAGTAGTAGTAATAGAAAATCGTAATAGTAACAGTCATACTTATAGGTACTAGTAATGGTAGTAATCGCAATCGTAAGTAGGAGTAATCTTCGAGTAATACTCATAGGGCGTCGCGGCGTCGAGTAGAGGCAGTCGGGTTGCAAACGCCGAGCGCCAGCAGCAGTGTGGCCCTCACCTGGGATGCTAAACTGACAGGGAGAGTGTGCTTGCGGTTCTCTCAGCCCCAAGCCCTGCACTCGGTTTCTGCAGCTGGAAACTCGCACCCCAAATCCTCGCAACAACCGAGGAACGCGGCGGCGGATCGGCATCGACATCATTGCCATGGCTATGAGGACGGGGCGGGCTGAAGGGACCAAAATTTCTAAACAAGCTGCGAGAGCAGAGGCAGAATTCACTTGGCACACGGCGCGTCGGCTTGTTGGGCTATCGGCTAGCGCTCTCAGGCGCATAAAGCTCCAACTAGCAGGCAGGTGGAGGTGGCACTGCTAGGCAGGGTTTAGTTTGTTGCATCTAACCTCAAGATTTCCTATGAAAGTCTGTGCGGGCAACCGACTTATCCTAGTCCCAGAACCCTTAAGCCCGTCACATTTGCAAACTTATACTCCTGGCCCTGTCGATTCTTCCGACCTTCTGTCTCTTCGGACGATGTCTGAGTTGAGCGTGTGCTTCGACTTCACAATAACCAGTTTAGAATTCCCTGGAGCAGAACTCACGGAACGAAGCCTGCAATGCTGCTTCCAGCATTGTTCGTAGCTCCTGTCGCTTGGGGGTCAGAGGTTCATTCAAAATGTGAATCGACCTGGGCCTTCTAATGGAGCCTTTCACGAGCGAGGGAGCCCAAAATAGTATAGGTAATGATTAAGGCCCCTACAGTACCTTTGGCAGAACTCACGGTCAACCCTTCGTACTTACTCTACTCCGAAATCCCGGCAGTCGCGGTTCCCCCCAAACCAAACCCTGAACCCGAAAACCCACAAACCCTAAACCCGAAACCCTTAACCAGCCTTAACCCCCTAAGCCACTACTAAACCCCTACCAAACTCCCTGAACCCTCAAAAAACCCCGAAGCCCCCCAGGCTCGGTCAAACTAGTACGGATTTGTAAGTATCATATTCGGATCCCGTTTCGATCCTTTTTTAACCCTGAACCCCTACTAAACCCCAACAAAAGCCCCACTGAACCCCTTTAAACTGCCTCTAAACCCTCCCGACTCCCCAAAACCCACCCCAAAACCCCCCTAAAGACCCCAAATCTACAAAAACTAAAACCTCAAAACCCTACAAAACCCCTACCGAACCCCCCATAAACCCCATAAAACCCTACAAAACCCACCCAAAAGCCCCCCCTGAACCCTCGCTCCAAGGCGTCTTCCCTTTCCGGCTCGGGCTCCGGGAGCGGATCGACCCCTGGCCTCGATCGCAGCGCAGCGCGGAGGAATGGGGGGAGCTTAGCAATTAGAGCAAGGCTCCTTTAAAGGGCTCCTTTAAAGGGATTGCTATAAAGGGTATTATTATATAGGGGCCTCCATAATTACAAGGGTTTACCTTAAATTATATTGTCCTTTATATTATGATTTAAGGCAGCGCGGAGGATGGGGAGAGTTTATTCTTAGGAACCTCAATAATTACAATGGGTTTTTTTGGGGGTCCCTTTAAAGGGTTCCATAAAAGGTTCTGTAAGGGCTACTATAAGGGTTTAGGGTTTAGGGGCCTTTAATTAGAGCAAGGCTCCTTTAAAGGGTTCCTTTAAAGGGATTGCTACAAAGGGTAGTATAATAAGGTAGCTTGGGGGTCCTTTACGCAGAACGCTTCTAAGGAACCCTTTAACCCCTATATCCAGAGAACCCAATACCGCAGAATTAAGGAATATACCTTAAATTATAAAGTCCTTAATATTATGATTTAAGGGTGGGGGGGAGTTTATTTTATAGGGGCCTCAATAATTAGAATAGGGTTTTGGGGTTCCGTTAAAGGGTTCCATACAGGGTTCTGTAAGGGCTACTACAAGGGTTTAGGGTTTAAGGGCCTTAATACCTAATAATTAGAGCAAGGCTCCTCTAAGGAGTTCCTTCAAAGGGGTTACTATAAAAGGTATTATTATAAGAGTCCAATATAGGGGCCTTAAGCCAGCCTTTGTACTTTGAGTAAGTATTTTTTTTCGCCCCTATAGGGTTTAGGGTTTAGGGGATTCAGAGGGTTCAGGGTTCAGGGTTTAGGGTTAGGGCTTAGTGGGTTTAGGGCTTAGGCTTCGGGTTTAGGGCTTCGTGGGTTTAGGGTTCAGGCTTAGGGTTTGGGGTGTAGGGTTTGCCTATAAGGGATCATAAGGTCATAAGGGCTTTTTTCAGGGCTGAAGGCCCTTAGGGCTTCTTTAGGGGCCTTCATGGGGCTAAGGATGTTCTAAGGTAGAACCCATGGGCCCCTAACATGGGCGCTTAGGGGATTCTAGGGCCCCTTAAGGGTATATATAGGGTATATAGTAGGTATATTAGGGTCCCAGGGTTAAGGGCCCATACTAGGGGCCCATGGGTTAGTACCTTAGAGATGTAGAATTTTAGGGCATGATTGATTCAACAATCGAAGGTCTTTACAGGAGCCTATGTTGTCTACGGAGTCTGTCAGGGCCTGCTTGCACATAGAGTCTCTTGTGGGGCTGTTTTTTTAAAATTTGTCAGGGCTCAGGGTATGGGGGTTTGAGGGCTTAGGATTCAGGGGTTCAGGCTTTCCTCAGCCTTAAGCTTCAGGGCTCAAGTCTTTCTTTCTCTTCCTTCTCTCTCTTTCTTTCTCTGTCTCTGTCTCTGTCTCTCCGTGTCGCTCTCTCTCTCTCACGCCCATTTATGCGAACGTATGTGTGTATGTATGTGCGAACGTAAGTAGGTAGCCAGGTAGGCAGGTGCTCGGTAGGTACGTGTAGACATATGTGTATGTCGACATGTGTGTGCATGTATGCATACAATATATAAACCCTAAACCCTAATCCGTGGTTTATACACATTCATACATACATACTCTGAGAGCTGTGAATCCTGTCGTCTACACACATCTCCTGAGTTCCGGTCGTCTGCGGTGCGCCGGGAGAAAGGTCGCTGCTTCCGCCTTGGCTTCAATGCCAGTCACTGGGAAGCAACACTGGGATTTCGTAAACCAGGTATACAGGCTTTTTTGAGACTGGTACGACGTACCATGCTGTTTGCTTTTGTTGTTTTTGGGGCGGGGTGCGGGTCCTACCGGAGGTTGGGAGCTAGGGCTTTCAAGTCATGCGTAGAAATTCACTAAGTCTCCAGATTCCAATAAGGACTGTGGAACATGGATCCATCCAACATCCACGATCTTCCCATCTATCCTAAGTAAGGAGCCGTCTTCAGTCATACTACATGCCAAGAATAGAATACTGTCTGGTGCTTAGTAGGGAATGGGGGAATGGATCCCTATGATAGTCCCTAAGGTCCCCTATAGTAGTCCCTATAACCCATTCCCCCATTCCCTACTAAGCACCAGACAGAATAGAAAGCAGATCTGCCTCTGACGAACCTTTCCGAGGGTGGAAGCTGCTACATAGTGATGACACGTAGCCCGGACAACTTGTATTCAGACACGAACTCTAAGGGTCCCAATTATATCATGAATGAAAGAATCAGAATCACGATCTTGATACTCATAATCATAATAATGACAACAACGATAGTCGGAATCTATTATGTATTATGCCCTATCTATACTGGAACTCCAGGGCATGACTACTCGAAAATGTTCCCACACGGTACATCACGTTAAGGGACCCTCCCGAAACCCTAAACCCTCGACGGTTCGAAAACCCCTCGAATCCTATAATCCCCTAAACCTTTTTCTCTCCTACACCCAAGCCTCACAACCCTAAACCCCTAAACCCTAAACCCCTACACCCCTACACCCCTACACCCCTACACCCCCAAACCCCTAAACCCCTAAACCCCTAAACCCCTAAACCCCTAAACCCTGAAACCCTAAAACCCTAAAACCCTAAAACCCTAAAACCATTAAACCCAAACCCGAAAAGAGGGGTTCTGGAAGTTTTTCGGTGGCCCTCATGTCCCTCCGCTGGGGCTCCAGCTCCTTTCTGACTCGGAGCGGCGCTCCTGAAAAGAGTTGTGTAATGTAGGGTTAGGGTTTAGGGTTTAGGGTTTAGCGTTTAGGGTTTAGGGTTTAGGGTTTAGGGTAGGTGCCTGAACGGTTAGAATAGGGTTTTGGGGCCCATGATACTATAAACAGAATAAGGAACCCCTCAAAATAGTATTTTTAACTGTTGAAGCCCTACATTACGGCTTTCAGGTGGTAGGGTTAAGGGTTTTGGGGTGTAGGGGTTTGGGGCCTGAACAAGCAGAGTAGGGGTTGTTGTAAGGGTTCGACAAGGGTTCTGTAGTATGGGGCCGTCATACCAGAATAGGCTTCCTTCAAAGGTTGCTTTGTAAGGGTTGTGTAGTATCGGGGCCTTCACAACTAGAAAAGGGTTCCTGCTTTAAGGGGTCTATAAAGGGTTCTGTGGTATAGAGGCCTTAAGAAGTAGAGTAGGGATCCACTTTAAAGGGATCTATAAAGAATTACTACGTATAAGGGCTCTATCATAACAGTTAGGAATAATAAGTTCGTATAGCATTGCTCGTATCTATATCAGGGTGTCGAGGCGTGGGGGTTGGTTTTTGGGGGGGGTTGAAGGGGGAGGATCCTTCTGCCAGTGCCACTGCATCTGGAAGGGTTTGGGGTTTAGGATTTAGGGTTTAGGGAACTTCTATCTCTTTATCTGCGTCCTGTCAGCACGGCGAAGCTAACACGAACCTGTGACCCTAGACCTCAAACCACCTAGACGCCTAAACCTGCCAACCCCCCTCACAAGCCCAACAACTCTCAAGAACCTCAAACCAAAGACCCTCAAGCCCTGAAAGCCACAAGCCAACAACAATCCTGAAGCCGAACCCCCCGAAACCACCCCAAAAAGCGCCCCAAGGCCCTAGTCTGTCTGGTGCTTAGTAGGGAATGGGGGAATGGATCCCTATGATAGTCCCTTAAGGTTCCTTATGAAGAGAGGAGTCGTTCCCCAGCAATGCAAATAATGCACTGATCTGGGACGAGCTTTACACAAAACGTAGTATCGGCACGGACCTTATAGTAGTCCCTATAACCCATTCCCCCATTCCCTACTAAGCCCCCAATCCCCAATGGAGGTCTTCTGAGACCTAAATAGGGCCCCAAAAAAGCAC